GGAGCAGATGCTGCCGCTGACAGCTTCAAATTTGTGTGTGTGTCACTAGGGCTGCACTCACAGACGGGCCGCTTTTACCACAAAAGCAGTCTGCCCCCGTTCGTTCGCGGAAGGTGGCCCTGCCTCCCCGCGCTCATGTTTCTCTCCTCCCAGCTACCTCGGAGGAAGCAACGACGAGCTCGCGGGTTGAACGATCAGACTTGAGCAATCCTCTACACACATCATGCGTGCTTAATCTGCCGGTATGTGTTACACATGAGGATCGGTGCACCTCATTATACGAGCAGCTTAATCCTCTCAGGCGAATCAAAGCGAAACGCGGGCAGCTTCGCATTTGTGTGTGCGTCGCTAAGCCCCGCCTCCCCCGCTCTGGTGTTTCTCTCCTCCCAGTTACTCGGAGGCAGAAATGGCAAACTCGCGGGTATGATCGATCTGGCTTGAGGGATTAAAGCCGGCAAGGCCCCCGCTTGCATCACACTCCAAGCAGCACTTTGACAGGGCAAACTTCCTCTTCCATTACTCGTAAGCATTCTGCCCCCCTGCGGCCAGTCACCCGAGTTAATTCAACCCATCGTCACGCGGGCCGAGGAGTGTCCCCGGAGTGTCGAGATGGGTTATGGGGATAATAAAGCGAGGATATTCACTCCAATTCGCTCGAAGACCCCAGCGCTTCAGCGGCGTGGTCCCCACATCAGTGCAGAGCAAGGACGCTCACAATTTGCTGGCAAAAGAAGCCGTGGAAAAGGTTCCTCCAGCCAAGAGCGAGTCAGGCTTTTACAGCCGTTACTTCCTCGTCCCCAAAAGAGATGGTGGCTTCCTACCCATCCGCTATCTCAGACACCTGAGTCGCGCCCTCATGAAGAGGTCGTTCAGGATGATTACACTGAAACAGATCCTCGCGCAAATTTGCTCGGGAGACTGGTTCTTTTCTCTGGACCTGAAGGATGCATACTTCTACCAGAAAGACTCAGGAGGTGAACATAGATCTCCAAAGTATTTATTTACAAAACCAATACAAGGAACATAATTATTTTGGCGTAGGCCCCATCCGTAGCTTGAATCAGACATTGTAGATTCCAGCTATTCCTGCCGAAGACGAAGGCAGGGCGGAGCCTACCCCCGCATTGATGGGGCCAACCTAGTGGTATCTGGATTTTCACATCCAGATAGCCCCTCGTCACAGGCCATTCTTGAGATTCGCCTTCGAGGGAGTGGCTTATCAAAGGCGATCGGAACAACTCTTTGTCAGCTTCGGTAACCACACCAAAGGGTTTCCGGTTACGAAGCAAAGACTCTCTAGATGGATAGTAGACGCCATCTCGTTAGCGTACTCTTCTTTGGGCCTCCAATGCCCCATTGGAGTACGGGCCCACTCGACTAGA